AAACACCTAGAAAAAGTGCAAAAGAGGGCATGCAAGATTATTCTCTCCCCTTCCTACTCCACATATCAAGAAGCGCTCAACACACTGACCCTTTCGACTCTCACTGACCATCACCACGACCTCATCTACAAATTTGGTAAGAAGCTTCTACACCATCCTCGACACCGGCTCCTACTACCACCTGAGATCCCTAGCCCGAGAATTGCTGTTCGACACCACAACCGCATCCAGCCCATACGTGCACGAACTGATCGCTATAAGAACAGCCCAGTCCCAACCTTTGTGAAAATTATCAATAACTTGTAATAAACCAGTGTATTCACTCCCAGTAAATACTACTTCTTGCACTGTCACTATGTTGAAATGAACTGTAGTTTGAGCTTTTCCCCATCTAGTTATTATATATCTTATTTGTATCACTTATGTTACTTGTATATTATTTATAATTCGAAACCCATTCCCCAAATATGTAACTGTATATTTTCAGCCTTCTGGCTGCCAAGCTCTTTCAATAAACCGTTAAAAAAAAAAAAAAACTCTCTCTCTCTCTCTCTGCACTAGTCTGACCAAGTGTCATCAATGAGGACATAACTCACGTGTTGGCACACCTGGACAAAAATTACAGTAATAATAGTAGCAATATACTAGCTCTCTGTGAAGACTAGCTATTTAAGACAAGGTAACCACAGACCACAAACCCTCTATGGTTCTCTCTGACGTCTGGAACATAAGCTTCTAGTTAACTGTCTACTTTAACAATTTAATAAAATACATTTTTTCACTGAAAGTAAGCCAATAATAATACAGTACAGTTACAGGATATGGGATACTGTACTTCCTATTAACTACAGTAATTTTCAGTAAAGTACAGTACAGTATTTCAAAATTTATTGATCTCTCTCAAAAGTCTCAGAAGGCAACTCAACAGTTCAAACTCTTAGCAGACATGAAGTGGAGTAACAGTATTTACTGTACTGTACAGTATTGTGATATGACATTAAGTTACAGTATGTCAAATGCTTAACTACAAATACTGCAGCCATCATTATCACTATCCCACATAATACTGCACCACTAGATATACTTTCTAAACTAAAAATTAAATAAAATAATTTAGTAAAATACAGTACTATAAATTGTACACTACGGGGTACAGTACAGTACTGTATATATACTTTTGTGTGAGTCATACTTCTGCAGTGATAACTGACAGAAAGATGGTCACTAAAATCTTCAACCTTTTCCCAAGCTGATACACCAATATAAATAATAAACCACATCATTAAATGTTATTACATAATTACATGTTCAATGAGTGTCCTGCCATTTAAAGAAATTGAGGCAATTAGCATAATGTGTGTTTCTCAGAGAATTACCAACAACTGGAATAACCTTACAGAGAAGCTGCCTTAACAGTAAAATTTAAATCAATGAAAATTATACATTAGTTTCAAAAGTCACTTATAAGGCCTATTGTAAATACTGCACTGTATCGTACTGACATGACTTCAGTTTCCATTAGTTAGTTCCAGGTAAATATCTAAACCATACGACCTGCATAACATATAACTGATCACCAAAATGTCTGTTCTGTTCTGGTCACAGTTTCACAGGCTGTTTGCCCTCAGTTTCTATAGCTTGAATAACCAGGACTGACTCTAGAGGATGAAGGATTATTTAGGCCAGGTGAGTAGATAAAAAAGTTATGTTCTATTAAAAGGAAACCATCTTCATTACTTTTACTTTTATCCTCTTCACAACTGATTGGCTCTTCTTTATTTTCATCCTCTATGCCACTGCCCACATGTCTTGGATGCTTTAGCAAAGTAACAAAACCTTGGTACAGTACTGATATCACTTAACAATGTATGATTTGAGCAGGAATGAACCATCAAAGCATACTCAGTGATAAACTCAGACAATGTGCAGCGACTGATAATATACTGTACTATCAATTTGCTGAAGTGTCAATGGTACAGCATATATAGACAGTGCCACAGTTGGGGTTCATTTATGCATTGGAATATTCCAGATTTTAAAAGAATGCTCTCAAAAATTAAATTCTTTGGAAAATCAAGAAACAAACCCAAGTAAGCACTGTATAAAGGAGTTAGTTCGGGCATTTTCACCCATATGACAAAATTACATCCATTTACTGTATTATAGAATTACACAAACATGGAGAGCTTTTACGGTTAACAATTCTTGAAGACAAAGAGTGCGATGAATAGAAGCATAGCTAAAGGTTACTTCGGTGGCCACATGCTGTTAGTGCACGTCAGTTCTAGACTTAGCTCGGTGTTCCACAACAAACGAAGCCCAAGACCCCCAACACAAGGCACCAGCGAAATAAAAGTTAGTCGATAATTAAACAAATAATTCCCAACGAACGTACTCATTCAAAATTCAATCAAGAAGAACTCACTATTAAAAGGTAATACTTTACAATGGGCACCAGTGAATTACAAGTTAGTAGTATTTTGTTTATTGAACATTTGTTCCTAAAAAAAAAATATTTATACAATATTATGTTGAGAAAATATGACACAATTGACGGAAGGATTTTGACAATCGTACCGAGACAACAGGAGTCGCAGTGTTCATTCTGAAATTCATCGATCACCCCAAGTAAAGACATTTTGAGTGACTGTACTTATAGTTAACAAATCCAGTGTTAAAAATATGAAAAATAACATCTTTGAATTACCTATAACTAAAATTAAGTAATAGCAAGTAGCTTATGGTCTCTGTTCCTTTAGTGTTTTGGTCAATCTGTATAACCCATAAGAAGAGGTACAGGTAGATCTGAATTTTGCAGGTACAAACGGCTGAGTAATGTGGGCAAAAATCACCTTTTATAAATTCAGACACAATTCAGTTATAGATTCCCTCAAGTCACCAAACACTGAAGGCCTGGGGGACATGACCTACTTGCCATTTCCTAAGTATATTTTAAGATTATTTTTCACATTTGTAATATTTTATCAATTAATTACAAGGATATTCAGTTAACAAATATCTATATACAGTAACAACCATTCTTCTCTACAAACGATTTATACAGTACAATAATTAGTGTAAGTATTCAAAAGCAGTAAAGTCATTTCCCTGTCCTAACTGATACAACTACCATCATCTGCTAAACACACCAGCTATGTTAGAAAAATAAAATGAAGTGTAATCATAACTTTAGAAGTCTTTGGAACATTCTATATCTTCATTCCAGGAAAAATTAAAACTCGGTAATATATCAACTTATTCATTAAATGTTTCAAAATTATATGGTAAGCTAAAATATGATAATTTAACCTCCTCTCTTCAATGTAAAGTTCAAGAGGCTGACAAATACTATGAATAAATCTTTATACTCTATTAAGTGTCATTTTCAGTACAATCTGAAATACTGTATTACTTAATATTTTGTTCCTCTTTCAGATACAACTCACAGACGGCTTCATAATATCTGTTCAAAGAAGTACTTGACACTTCTTTCATGTCAATTCTTTATTAACATATTAATATTAGTAACCAGCTCAATAACACGTGTATTATTATTCGAAAACAAATAATATTCACAAATAGTAAAAACAGATTCTCTAGAAAAAGTGTAATACTGTCAACAGGAGAGGAGACGTCATTCCCGTGTACAGTATGACAAATCATTAAACTCAGGCGATACCAGCTGCCCTTAACAACTCAGGGAGGATAAGACATATGTTAATTCATAAGTACAGCGAAGAGATGAGTTAACAAGGACAGAGAAGAGAGATATGGGGGGAAGAGTGGTGAGTCGAGAAACACACTCACTCCCTCTTCAACCGGTCTGACCCGTCCTACACCTCCCACAGGGATCACTTACCTTAACGTACAGCTCCCGTACGGACATCCTGGGCCGCTGGCACTGATCAATCCATTAAATACAAGATATCCAGTAATGGGGAGGGAATTGATGAGGTGTGAACACAGGTCGATAGCGCACTGGTGCCACCACTTGACAGGTCTGACAACACTCACCTGGCGGCCCTCCCACCAACCACTCCTCACAACATGTCCTTCTTCCTCCCACACATTACCCGCCATCTTCAAAGACACAATTTAATTTTCTCATCTTTCTCCCACTACATTGTGAGGATTTATCGTCTTTAATCCTTTTAAATTTTATTATGTTACCTACATGAACTATTTTATATCTTGGACTATCGGTATCCTCACACACAATGCCAAGCCACCACTTTCAAAACCAGCTTTACTGTTATTTAATGGCCACCTACTAGAGGTTTCCATGCCCAGGGAAGGATCACTAATGGATTTTAGTATAACTTGTTTTTATTTCTTCTCAACTTCTTTACTATATGTCCTTCATCTCCTCCTGTGCCTAATCTACAACACTGATACATTTTTCTCAACTAATCAAGTAAATTGTCAGTGCTTCGATTCAACATTCTTCAGTCTTCATAGTACTTGTATAATTATATAGTTGTAGATAAAATTGTCTAGACACTTTGCATAACTACTTATAAAGGCAACAAAAGTTTTCATAAAAGTTCACATATAAAACTGTTGAAAAATATCTTGCTAAACTGGGATAAATTTATGGTGTCTCGTACTGTGCTCCCTCTCTTGGTCGTCCCAGGAATAAAATATATGAATATATATTTTATTTCTAAACTGTGAACCCTGTGACCAGGTTGGGGCCTATGAATGACTATGTGATTAAAATAGTACATTAGCATCATAAGTTGGCATATGTTTATTGTAGATTTTGTCCAACACTGTAACCTTCCTTCCTTCCTTCTCACCCTCCTCCCCTGCCGCCCAACACACCCTAGCCGCCGTCGGCAGGCTAGAACAAACTGATGACATCCGTGTCAAGTTTCTTTGGATTCCGTCACATATAGGAATAACTGCCTGTGACACTGTTGATCGGCTTGCCAAAGAAGCTACACAAGAAGAAGATACTGAAGCCACTCTCGCCCTCTCCCTGAATCATCTCAAATCTCGCATACACGCCACACAACGAGAGGCACTCAACGAAAATTGGACACACCTGAAACAACGGGGTAGTATCACACTATGCCACTATGACGCTGTAACCGGTGACGACAACCGCCACTACAAAGAATATCAATCCCTGACTCGATCTCAACAGCTTATATACATGAGACTGCGCCTAGGGTACAGGTACCTATGGGAGTACATTGGCAACCCTGAGCCTCACCGCACTGTTTGTAAACTTTGTGGCCAACCCGACTCTCACACCCTCTCTCACTACATCCTCACTTGCCCTATGACCTCCTCCTATAGGTCCCCAGCCGTTACCAACACCTCTTCCCTCCCAGACCAGATATCCCTCCTCCTAGTCACAGGCCTGCCACTCTTTGCCATAAACAGATAAAATGTACCGGGAACTTTCCCCCCCCACACACTCATCATTCTCTCACTTTATGTAACTTGACAGAACCTATGACCCTTCAGGCTTTTACGCCCTTAATGTACGAGTCATAAAGGCAAGGATGAACTTTTCATACTTCCCTGTTGGGCGCTGTAAACGCTTCTGCGCTTCACCTTGCACAGGATGTAAGGGGGTGCCCAATAAACTAGCCCCCTCGGGGGCAAATCTGAAATCTGAACCTCTGGATTTGGTCCTGATCAACTCACAGGTCATGTCTGAGGTCTAACCTGTAGTTCAGGTTTTTGGTGAAAGTCTCATCCTAAACCTAAGTTATGGAAAATAAACATTCGATTTTTTTATCAATTACTGTACAGTATTTGAAAATCCTATTACTAACAACACTGGAAAAAATGGGTTAGGATAAACTATAATTTGAATACTGTACATGTATTGTAATGATTATACAGTACCACATGTACTCCCCACTTGGGAATAAAACAAGGTTTCTTTGCTTTCTTATTTATTTGGTAAAGGAAGAAAATACCCATTTTTTACAATATTTTCATATGTACAGATCTGTACAAAATGTCCAAAGGCAACTGTCAAGACAAGAAAGAGTGAATTACATCACAAAATTAGTCAAGGGCTCACATCCTGTTGACATATAAATATGAGTTCAAAAAATATTTCTCGCATATTCCCAGAGTTCAATGTTAGGTAGCAAATAAGGTGCACATAATCCATTTATAATGCACACAGAATTGGCAAGGACACAAATACTTGTATTGTTCATCACCGGTACAGCAAACCTTCCCTTGACATACTTTGTTGGTAATATATCACCTACCCTAGAAAACTTGAGATTTGAAGAGCACTGAAGTCTTAAAATTAGTTTTGATCCTGGGAACGGAGGGTTGAATGTAGGGATGACGACTGTGACCTGACCTGACCTCCCTGCCTCATTTTTCCTGGATTGATTGATTGACAAAAATAAGGTCACACCTACAATTACCAAAACAATGAAATTTTTTGGCCTACAAGTTTACATTAAAAAAAAAATAACTTGTGAGTCTGTGCTGCTATTCCCTAAAAATTACTGTTGCTTCAGTTTCCACCTGAGACATGGACAGCAACATAAGACTAATACAGTGTTTAAATTTGGCAGAATATTTTCCTTAAGGAACAAAGATAAGCTGGAGATACAGACCTCTACACTGAAGAGTAAATACTTGTTACTGTGTAAAAAAAAAAAAAAAAGCCACAAAGGATTTACTTGTTGTAATTAAGAAACTCAACTTCAACCCTTAATCCATAATATCAACAAAAATAATTAATATCATTATTTGGACTGCATGATGAGAAGCACAGAACACATACACCATAACATAAACTGTAAAACAAAGGCACATTTGCATTTACATGAACTTCAAACATAACTTATATCGAGATTCTTTCATGCATCCTTATCACATAAAAAATAAAATAAAATAACTCATATATTGGACAGACAATAAAAACATTATGTTACCTAACACCTAATGAGTATTTAACATAATCATGATAGAGTGGTTATAATATCAAACAGTCTAGCCAGGGTACTGTATACTGTTATGGAAAATAAAGCCTAAAATTTCAGATAAAATTCTCAGTTAACACCCGATGATAGTATTCTCTACCGTCTCCAAGTTAAACAATAGCGTGACTATATCACTGCAGCTGCTGGAAATGTACTTTTTTCTTTTCAGTAAAATATCAAGAAGCTGTAAAGTAAACAATAATAATAATTAGTACAGCAACACCTCTATTTAATGGACTATATAGAGATGAAAGTCTTGTAATATCGAGGGTCCGTTAGATGTGCAACAAACGCCCCATCTAACGGATTATATGGAGATTAGATGTCCGTTGTGGAGACCTCACTATAGTAATAATAATAAAAGAAATAATTCATGGTGTGATGAAACTTGGTCACGTGAAGATGAGAGGTGCAACGGAACAGTACAGTACACAGATGGCATGAATGGTTAGTGAGTATTACAAGGTAAAACTTGAAACAATAAGTTCAGACAAGCAGATTAGGTACCTGCAACTGTAATGAAACAAATATTTACCAGTGAAAGGTACAATAAGTATGATCTGAGCACATGTGCCGACACAAATCGTGTTAGATATAAATTAATGTAATGATCACCCATTAAAACACCACAGAGACACAGACGATGAAAGAGGGACATGAAAATAAATATCTCAAGAACAATGCCTCAATGCAATACTGTTTGACATTTTAATTAATACACAAAGAAAACGAATGCATTTTCATATTAAAAGGAATTATTCCTAACATGAACTAAAGTTATCCCTAAACTTGTAATTTAATAATAAATAACATTAGGCAAGTTGACAAATTAAAATTAATAATAATATACTGTAGTCCCATTCAGGTTAGATTTAGCAATAAACTGTGAAAGAGTAGGACACAAAACTTGTTAGAAATATAAGAGAGAGGAGAGAGAGAGAGAGAGAGAGAGAGAGAGAGAGAGAGAGAGAGAGAGAGAGAGAGAGAGAGAGAGAGAGAGAGAGAGAGAGAGAGAGAGAGAGAGAGAGAGGAGAGAGAGAGAGAGAGAGAGAGAGAGAGAGAGAGAGAGAGAGAGAGAGAGAGAGAGAAGAGAGAGAGAGAGAGAGAGAGAGAGAGAGAGAGAGAGAGAGAGAGAGAGAGAGAGAGAGAGAGAGAGAGAGAGAGAGAGAGAGAGAGAGAGAGAGAGAGAGAGAGAGAGAGAGAGAGAGAGAGAGAGAGAGAGAGAGAGAGAGAGAGAGAGAGAGAGAGAGAGAGAGAGAGAGAGAGAGAGAGAGAGAGAGAGAGAGAGAGAGAGAGAGAGAGAGAGAGAGAGAGAGAGAGAGAGAGAGAGAGAGAGAGAGAGAGAGAGAGAGAGAGAGAGAGAGAGAGAGAGAGAGAGAGAGAGAGAGAGAGAGAGAGAGAGAGAGAGAGAGAGAGAGAGAGAGAGAGAGAGAGAGAGAGAGAGAGAGAGAGAGAGAGAGAGAGAGAGAGAGAGAGAGAGAGAGAGAGAGAGAGAGAGAGAGAGAGAGAGAGAGAGAGAGAGAGAGAGAGAGAGAGAGAGAGAGAGAGAGAGAGAGAGAGAGAGAGAGAGAGAGAGAGAGAGAGAGAGAGAGAGAGAGAGAGAGAGAGAGAGAGAGAGAGAGAGAGAGAGAGAGAGAGAGAGAGAGAGAGAGAGAGAGAGAGAGAGAGAGAGAGAGAGAGAGAGAGAGAGAGAGAGAGAGAGAGAGAGAGAGAGAGAGAGAGAGAGAGAGAGAGAGAGAGAGAGAGAGAGAGAGAGAGAGAGAGAGAGAGAGAGAGAGAGAGAGAGAGAGAGAGAGAGAGAGAGAGAGAGAGAGAGAGAGAGAGAGAGCATAAAAATTAAATTAGAGGACAAGTACAGTAATTTTTTCCCCACCAACTCATACACTACAACCAACTAAGAACAGAATATTAGACTTCACTACTCATTTACCCAACCCCCTGTCTAGGTATTCAGGAGATAACTCTTGAATATCAACTGTATCATTTATATCTACTACAGGGAAGTATCTGTCAACCCAAAATCTTCCTTATGAAAGATTTGAACATTCTTAATACGAATTTTAAGAGTATGGAGTAATTTTTTTTTTAATTTTCCATAACTATTACATGAGAACAAAAAAGAGAAATTGGATATTAAGCAACTGGTTAAGTGGGTGTGTGTGTGTGATGAGTCTATTTGTCTTCACGTGAGTTTAAGGAGTAAGTTATATGGTGATTATAACAGAACGATGAAAAGGTGAGAGTGATAGAGAATAATGAAGTAAGTTAATGTACAGGTATTTGTAGTCACTAATAACATAACCATACTGAACACAAGTGCTAGGGTTTACACTACATGCTTCCCTTGGACACAAGTTCGTGATAACTTCCACTTTACGTAATTATGTATTTTTACAGAATATTCTTGGTCCCAAACTTTTCGGTTGACAGATACTTTAATGTACAGGGAGCGCACTCTGGTGAGAGAGAGTTTGGGCAGAACATGGGAATAAACACGAGCCAAACTTTTGTTCTAAGTTATGCTAGAATTACCCTCAGTATGTATGATAAAAATTCTCGAGTAGTTCGTAAAATCATATATGTTAAATAAAGCATAAGAATACATACTCTTATCCAGCAGCTACTGTATATTACCTACTACAGGTTTCTCTGTACTGAAATTTATTGATACATTTTTTCAGTGGTAAGTGTTGTCCACTTTGCTCACTGCTTCTTTACTAAGGAGACACACACACAATAGAGGTAGGTTACTACTTAAATGGCCAATTCCTGGGCCCCGTATGTAAGAAAAATATAATTCCCTTGAACATCTGCCGCTTAACTAATTGGCAACTCTTATCCCGACAACGATAACTCATGCAAAATGATATACAACTCACCCACATAACAACAATTTTAATAATTAACAGGAGTATAAACAGGCCATCAAACTAAGTCAGAAAAGCCTAATATAAAATAATATATACATACAATCACTTAGGAGAAAATAAGAAAAACACACTGGTCAAGGCCGACGAGTGTGCCAGACACAGTAACAATCTTTACAGCTGCTGTTATGTCTCACTCACAAGTTGTTGACTTTTGTGGTTACATTATCTAGTCGAATCCTTATTAACATTTCAGTACATTGTATATACAGTACAGCAAATAAATGTAAAAGTTCCCTTAACCGTCAGATGTAATTACTGAACTACACAGTCCCTTTGGTGGTTAATTTACCCATACATTACAAAATGTAAAGTTCATAAAATACCCAGAAACCAAGAGACAACTATCACAGGTTCATACTGTACTTCATTTCGCTGTCATATACTGTGTTTGTTGTTAACATTTATTAATAACTCAACAACCACAAGTCCAAGTGTTTGACTTGAGTGCTACTGAGCTTGCATCCAAAAATAGTACTGCAGTTAGGAGTCTGCATTAACCTGAATATTAACATCTCTAAGGCCTTGGATGAAGTTTATCAATGCTTGTGAAATGTGTCACAAAATATAATCTTCTAATATCAAATCTTTGATGATGACATAAGTCATAAGACTAAAAATTATATAGAAAATACTTCTTATATCAAATGATGAAAGCCAGAAATAATTTAAGCTGCAAAAACTGCCTATTAATGTCAATTGTATACATAACATTCTCCACTATGCATAAGATTATGTACAAAACTTATAATCTAAAGAAGTATTGTATAAAACCGTATGGTCTTCATATCTTACATATTATGCCAAGGTTTGGGATCATGCCACAAGAAACAGAGGTCTTTTCTGATACTGCTACAATCCACCTTGTGCAGGCTGGCTCATCAGATCTGATTTGTTCAAGTTCCGAGACATCGTAAATCCAACATATGGAACACTTTTTCTCCTTCTCAATAATTTCTTTAACATTTCCTTATCAGTCACATCAATTATCTTGTACTTACATTCATCTACAAATACCTCCATCTGTTCCTCTTGTGTCTTGTTCTATCCTGTCAACCTCAATTAATTCCTTGTCTCAGTTAATTTCTTAATCTTAACTATAATGACTGTCATCTTGAATGGTTAAACTGGAAAAGCTACACAGATGTATTACAAATGCTGTTATAAATCAATCAGTGGCAGTGCATGTATAGTCAACACAAACACTACAGTCACTGAACATGTCATATTTTTATCTTGAAGGTACAATAAAATATAAAAAAACACATGCCAATATGATTTCTAAAATGGTTTTGCTATTGTATGAGTGAAATTGTACTTGCAGAAAAAGAATGAATATTTGTTTGTAAAAAAAAAAAAAAAACAGGTGGCTACATAATGAAAAATGGCATATTATTGAAATACATTTTTGTATAAATAAAGCAAAACTGAAATTGAACTTAATCTGTACAGTACTTTCTAAAATATGTACATACCAATTTTAAATGAAAGATGCCCCTCACTGAAATATTGTACAGTACAGAATATGTAAAATGCAAAGTGTATCAAAATGGAAGGTAAGCAGGTGGGAAAATGTTAAAAGTTGGGATAAATCTTGAGGAGTAATTCTGGAACATGTAGAGTTACCAGAATGGGGAAAGAAGTAATACCCCCATTACCTGTATTGTTATTGTTGTACAAAATAATGAAAGTAAGAAAAGAGTACTGAGGAACATGTGAGAATAACTAAGAAGAGCCTATACTGTATAAGAGATATTAGCGGTAGAAACAAATAAGAGCCGAGACAAGGTAGAAGAATAAAGTACGGAGAATCTATGAGACATAACTAAAAAAGAGGGATGGAGATGTGTAGGAGTTTTGCCAAGAATCATCCTGCTATGAAGTGAGACCTACTATGAAGTGGGACCTGCCAAGAAGTGGGTCACAGCCTATATGATACAATACACAGTAGGCATACAAGGATATGCAGCACATGACTGGTATCTGTGATTAATAATATTTTGAGTGAATACAATCCACACCACGATGCATTTAGCACAAACGACACTTCAGAAAAAAGTTGGTATGAAACTAAGCATAAATTTTGTATTATTTTGCAAATTTGAGATTCAGTTTAGTTAAGACATATTGTATTAGAATATGTTGATTAAGCTGCATGAGCAAAGTTGGCCTATTTGGCACAAAATGCACAAATAAAAGCATAAATGTACATGCATACACAAACACACACATACCCAAAACACTTCAACACATTTCAACTGAACAAGTGAATAACAAAAAAATGAATATTTTCTTTATCTGGGGATGGTTTACGAAGCCACGTAAGTAATTCTGGAAGGTCATGACTACAACAGAAGCACTAAAAAATCTTATGGCAATTCATCAAATACGATATTTAAATGAAAAATAGTCTACCATCAATCTCAAATAGACTTGTTTCAACTATGTGGAAGTGTACATCAGATCACTCATTTCATCCAGCCAAACAACACACATTACCACAACCTTCATTAAGCAGAGTCTTCTTCAGGTACTTCAACTTATACATCACATCAATGGTAAAACATGCAAGTGTTCGAGTGTTTTCCTGCAAACACGTCAGCATGCACCTCTGTCTGTGTAAGCACATAACTTTTAAAGAGTGTGAAGAATGAGTAGGCACTGACAAGTTAAAACCCGACATCTAAATTTCTATGAATGGATGTGCAGAAGTAAACTGACATTACCTCCATAACCAAATCACAATCTAGACAAGTGGTATAAACACAAGACTCTACATGTATCTCCCTTTAACTGAGGAGCTTTATGAAAACTTTCCTCACGTACGAAGAGAAACCTTTGTGCATGTTACATTGGATTCCAGACGCTGTACATAACAAGTAAAGATGACATAACTTTATATGACATGTAGATATGCCTTTTTATACCTTAATCAAGCATATTAACTATAAAATTAATAAAAAAAAAAATTCTATTCAGCCATTCTACAAACGATGTTGACAACAAGTGACTGGCAATAAAGAAAGAATCTCACACGCACACACACAAAATAACTTTAAAGCAAACAGTTTAAGTAGACTGAGGATAATATATTGAGCATTACCCAGACACAAGCATACTTCATTCTTAAGAGAATAGAAAGAACAGCAGTACAATATATATTCAAGCAATATGGAAGTAACTGTGGGAAACAATGAATGTTTACAGCATCAAAACCACTGCATAACAATCTTGTAATTTGTTCTATGTAATATCATTTCTGAGACAAAGAACACAGTGTGGTCTAAAAAAAGAAAAAACCTGAGGTGCCACTGTCAACACCCCTAAGAACAGTCGCAGTACAGTTTATCGCTACATTTTGACGTAGAACATTAAACATGGACCGGAAACCCGAACAAAGTATTTAGTGTTTGAGTTAAATCTATCATAAATCAAACAATCTTCTGTAACATCAATTGTACTGACACACCGAAAGAGAGAAAACAAAAGAAAAAAAGATACTGTACAGATGTTTTTGTGTTCGGAATTATTCCCAGACAATAACACACAGAGGTTAAACTCACGTTCTCTTCACTTGAGCAGAAATGGTTAAGAGTGTGTGTGTGTGTGTTTGTTTGTTTGATGGCAGCATAATAACTGACACTTGCTAAGACTCATAATATACACATTCTACTACAACTAGTCATTGATTAAAATCATTAAATCTTATACAAACAAGTTCATTTATACAAATTCTTCCCATCAAAATTAATTTGTAAATAGTACACACAAAGTATCACATATACAGATTTGGATTACAATTTTCATAACTGATATGTCTCAGTCACTCAAACTGTGACACATTTTTAAAGCATTTGAAATATACCTTATAATGTTAAAATGACGCTTGTGAGATTTGTCCATGAGCTTACATAATACAGATCTTAAAGCAATACCTACTGTGTCTAATCTTACAAATAATGAGCTGATGTCTGTTCTTCACTTGGGAGAAAGATACAGCATCCAATAAAATGCTAACATGCAAAAATCAGCATAAACATTAAATAACTTATACGTAATTTTTTTTACCATTACTCAATGTGATATTGAGCATTCATCATCTTATTAATCATTTAAACGAGCAGTATAACATGACTGACTCCCCTGAGTTTGCCCAACCCTTTAAAGAGGAATTTCCTCTATTAAAGAACCCAGACATAAATTTTGATAGTATAGTAAAGGTTCCCCCACCATCCATTCACTTGGGACCATAATGTGGTTCATAGAAAATTCAATGTCTGCTCTACCAATCCTGAACACAGGCTGAGAGCACTTGTCCCTCTCATTTATCAAGAAATTGGGAAATTAACATCCTGCCTTCATCATTCTCCTGGGATGATGGTGGTTGAGGTGGTGGAGGTGATGGTGGTGGTGGAGGATGAGGAGACTGACTGGGTGGAGTTTGGGTTCCTCCTGGATCTTGAGGACTGTCCTCCCTAGATGGCCCCACAAAGGGAAGTTCAGGAGCTGTAAACTCTTGCTCACGTACTGGTACAGGAATCTTCAGCAGAGGCGGGGGTGGACGAGATTCATTAACAGAATCGGATGGGCTCTGTCAATCAAATTTAAATGTCAGATGTAAATCCATTATGTGTAAAATGATTGACTCTAATACAGATTACTGCATGTGACTTGGATAATTGCTGCTTAGGTATTTGTGTGATAAACTACAAAGAGAACTGAGAGGTGAGAGATGAACAACTGTCTATACATTTTTTAACAAAAGAAAAACAACAAAGCATTGAAGTATGAAATCCTACTTCATGACTAAGGGGAAGTTGGAGAAGACCTGTGACAACACTCCACCTGAACTTCCCTTCAGAGCCTTGCTTAGTGTTCCCTGTTTTCTAAGACAGGGAAATTGTATCCTGAAGAACTACATCCCATATTGAACTACCAATTGATCATGATATAATAAGTATGACAACTTCAACTACTGCACTAATTGTTTTCCATACATCCATAATGGTTATCCCACCTCTTCAAATAACTTTCACTTTGTCAAAATTTTAAGAAGACCACATTCCTTGGTGGCCATCATTTACAGTTCTATACCATACTTGGACCAACCTGTTCTTAACATGAGGATACAATCATTAAATTTAAATAGATGAAATGATCTATACACAGTACTTATGGGTAAAATGCAACTGACCTTGTTTGTGAAGTGAGGTGCTGCTCTCTGGGCTGCTAGAGCTTCAGACTGCTGTGCCTTGGCCTTAGCCAGGAGTGAGTTGAGCGTTAGAGCTGCATTGAGAACTGCTAAGCCATCCTGTGGGTCTGTCTCTGGTATGTGCTCTTTATCCTGGGATGAATCTATAAAAAGAATGTTTGCATTTATAGGTTTTCATACTTTCACAAAACTATCATGAAATACCTATCACCAAGTATATCATTAACACAGTGGAATCTCTCCAGCAGTACCCAGACCAAGGTATTGTATAGCAGAATCTGAGAAATAAGAGGACTTCGGAGAGGGGCAACTCAGATATAGGTTGTAGCAACATAATGGCACCCAGTGAACTACCTGGTTTAAAGATAGTTAATTGTTGGATACTCTTGAAGGATTTCAATGTGCCATATACCTGAGCATAAAGTATCACACAATAATTACCTTGAATGGCATTATTACCAGTGCAAACTTCCAAAATAGGAATTTATCTTAGATTTCATTCCAGATTATACCATCTAAGGATCCAGATTATATCCTCTTAGCAGCTTTAATCCACTTTGGTAAAACAGTGCTGTAATATGCTGGGTAGTGTGCTGCTCACCCCACACACCAGCCTGCCAGAAACTACTGACTGGGTTGTCAAGCAAATGTAAATGCCCTTGAAACACAATATGCATACTGTACCAATAAAATAATTATACTGTACAGTATATACTGTACAAGACTGTGGGGAGCAGAATACCATGAAATAAGTGTAAAAAACATGTAACAGGAAGTACATTGATACCAAAATAAATTCCCCATGGAACTCATGTGTGCTACTAAAGTGTTTAAGACACTCAGCTTTCTAGTCTGACTGACACCTAACACCCCAAAACAAATGTTTAGTAAAAATTACAACTTTCTTTCAAATTGTAAGGCAAGCTGTAAAAATTACTGACTTGTGGGGTAATTTTGATGCACTTGGATAATTCAATATAATTAGCAAAGGTTCAGTGTACTGTTATATTTCACATAACCTTATGTATGTAATGTTGTAAAGGTGATTCTTTTAAGTGAACATCATTGCATTACAACAATGTTTATACCATAAGGTGCTAATTTCTCACTTAAAGATTAAAGACAAATAATCCTGCTTAAATCCTAACCCAGTATACATGAGTTTGATCCAATGAATATGGGGGGAGTGGTGAGGAACAATCTACTAATGCAACATGCTAATAACTTGTCACATTAAGGCTCCTACACTAAACCACCTCACTGGGGCCTGCCACCAAACACAACTGTGGGAGGAGACACACAGTAGACTTACCACTAACTATCTGTTCCAGCTGCTCAGGGATAGCAGTCTCAGCTTCCTTCTTTTTCTTGGGATTCCTCCTACGTGTCATGGGTGCTGTACGGAAAAGGTGGCTGGGTCGGTTGATTCCATGTAGCTTGAAGTACAGCCCACAAGCATTGCACACAATTTCACCTGCCAAAATGTATTACCATTTTACTCTTCAAACAGAAAAATACAAAACATGGGGTGGGAGGGAGGGAGGGGGGGGGGATTACATATACAGTAAAAGTCCAAAAATCCGGATGCCAGAAATCCGGACCACCCGAGAATCCGGACGTTTCAAAAACGATTTTTTTTTTAGCGGGCATTTGTGTGCATGTGCGCATGCGTGAGCGCCACAGCTGCACAGCGACAACAAGCGATCACGTGGTCGCCACTTTAAAATGGGCAATCAAAGAAATCGTTAATTTATGATATTCCTCGTTTATAGTTCCACCCACGTTTTTGAGGGTAATGGAACAACAAAACCACTAAAAACACTCTACATCCTATAAACTGAGGCTCGCCGTGCATGAAACACAAGTGCTGAAGGCAAATTGTTTACCATTTATTATTACGACACTTTACACTGAAACGCGGGTAGTTTCAACAAAAATATTGTATATTTCCATTTAAGTATTTATTCAAGTCAATTAGGAGGGAATATTATTGAAATACAACAGTTTTTAAACTAAACCATTCGAAAAGCGATTACGGTAACATCTTTTGAACGAAAGAAAGCGAAAGTCATTGTTTTCGTCATGATTTCATCCCACTTTCCACTGTAATACGTATGTAATTTCAGGAAAAATATTACATTTCCGTAAATGTATTATATCAAGCACAGTATGAATAGAATATCATTGTAATATATCAGAATTTTAACTGAAAACTATTAAAAAAACGAGTAACATCTCAAGAACATCGGAAGCTTAGGTAAAGTCTTTTGTTTTCGTCATGTATTTTATCCTATTTTACATTGAAATACGTCACGTTTCCACAAAACTACTATTTATCTCCGAGAATATATTCATTCAGGCGCAGTTTAGGTAAAATAGACGAGTGATGTAATAGTTTTTTAACTGAAAACGATTCGAAAAACACGTACCCTCTAGCCCTGTTCAAAGAGAGGACTGGGAGAAGCTGTTTGGTGCTGCAGACGATGACAAGGAAAATGATTTTGATGGATTTTAATGAAAATATTCAGAAATATGGTATCGTAGTATTTATTCAAGTCAATTAGGATAGAATATTATTGTAATACAACAGTTTTTGAACTGAAAACCATTCGAAAAGCGATTACGGTAACATCTTTTGAACGAAAGAAAGCGAAAGTCATTGTTTTCATCACGATTTTATCCCACTTTCCACTGTAATACGTACGTTCAGCAAAAATATTACATTTCCGTGAATGCATTATATCAAGCACAGTATGAATAGAATACCATTGTAATATAACAATATTTTGAGTCCTACTCTTTCCATTTACAGAGTACTGTACAAGCCCATAATAATGGCTCCTAAAGTAGATAAACTTCGTTGTGTGAAGAGAAAGAAGAACACATTGAAATTGAGTGACAAACTTGAAATAATTAAGAAACCAGAACGTGGTGTGAGCAATACTGTTCTAATGGAAACATACGATATTGGAAAGTCTACAATTTATGATATATAAAAGGCAAAGAATAAAATTTAGAATTCACAGCTTTTTCATTAAAACTGCTCGTTTTGATAAATGAAGCAAGCTATATTTGCAAATGAATAAACTATCAAAATGTACCTGTTCATTTCTTCTTTATTCTTCATTAAATTTGAATTTTAAAAGTACTGCCTGAGAATCCGGAAAATCCGAAAATCCGGACCAACCCAATCCCCAAGCAGTCCGGATTTTTGGACTTCTACTGTAATAACAATACAGAAATCTTTATAACTTCTACAATAACTCTTTTTCTCACATAACAATTTCCTACCTTTATCATTACGTCGCCAAAGTTTAGTGTTGTTGGTGCCACAGTTGGAGCACATGGCGTATGGCATCAGCTTAGGAGACATTGTAGCCTGGCTCTGTAATAAATCATTGGGTCATTTGTATTCACCTTAATGGTATATCTATGATGTTTAAAGTTTATTATGAATGAAACCAATGTATAAACAGTGTAGAGTGAGATGTACTGTTACTGATGATTCTTACCGGAGAAGATCCCTTTTTGTTCATACCAACCAGATGATTAAGACCCAAGTCCTGAAAGTAGAAAAATTTACCATGAGGACCCGTACAAAACCAATTTCTCTATATTAAACTTACACTTCATGAGCCTCTTTTCTCTGCTAAGTCATCATCATCACCTTTATGGTCATTTTTCCATACCTTTGTGGGTTACCTGATGGTAGTTCTCCAAGCTACATGGTCTCTTGCAGCCTCTCTGTCTGGTTATCTCACAACCTCTCCCTTTTGAAATTGTGGTAACAAACAAGGGCATGGCCAAGGGTAAATCATTGCACGGAACAAGTTCGGCAGAGTTAGACGCAGCAGCGTATGAGTGGCTTTAGCAATGATGATGTGAAAGGCTGCCTATTTCCATGTAATCGAGTCGTAGCGTTGACATGCATATACAGTACCATTATCACGTTTTTTTTTACATTTTACTTACGTAACCATGTATAGTGCGAGTATATTTGTGTATTGCTGCAATTTCACTCAAATTTTAAAAGATTTCAGTGCCTAACGACGGACAAAAAATGTCAACATGCATGTAGCTATAACCCATAATGCCTTAAAAAAAAAATACTCTTTATCACAATTTTTTTTATGTTTCACTTCTACATCCTTGTATATATAGTATTTGTATATTATATATCAACTGTATACAAATACCATTTAAAAGCTATTTTTCAATGCAAAACCACAATCTGGCCTCAATAGCGTTCAAAAGTACAAACCTTTTAGAAGTCTGCACGAGGAGTTTGGATATTTAGGCTTTGACTGTATCTACTCATTGTTCTCACCTCAAACACCACGAAAAACACTAATTCCTCTCTTAAGTTCAATATGGTTTCTGTTCTCAGAGGATTCACTTACTCATCTAATTCATAACCTTACCCCAAGAAGAGGAAGCAGAAGAAAAAGAAGAGGAAGGAGGAGGAAAAGAAGAGGGTGTCAAGAGGGGTCAAGGCTCAAGATGTCTCAAGTCTAACACGAGTATTCCATGCACTCCTGACATCATAAATAAGAAGACCACTTTTGATCTTAAAATACAGTAACTGGGTCAGAAATTAAGATCAATACATTACTATAAACAGAATTTTGGTGTTTGAACGTTTATCCTCAGTTATCATTAATATAATTTTTGTTTCACTTCTTATTCATATTTAATAATCTCTTTCTCCTTTGATACTCTTCTATACTTATTCATCATCTGTAACTTTCCACCCCAGCATCACCCACCATAGTGTAATTTGTATACAATATCTGACTTGCCTCCCATCAAACAAAATTCAGCTCCCCCTCTATTCCTCTTGTTTCTATGCTTCTTTCAGTTCCATCCATGATAGCATTACACACACAATACTGAACAATCATGAAAATATCACAAATACTGAACAGTCATGGTAACATCACACAATCTTCTCATTCCACTTTCACTGTATAAACCAGTTCCTCTCTGCCACTCTCTCTCTGTAAAAGCTTTAAGACAGTATAAAAACAACTCTCCATTTAACTCATTCATGCATTACATTTCTACCAAATCCATATACTTTTAAATAATCCATAAATACAATACATAAATCAATATATTTTTTAACTTAATGTCTTTCAATTATATTCCTTATTACAAATACTTTTAATCTCTTTATTCTATTCTTTTTTTCTAATTCCACAATGTTTTTTCTCCATTCCCATACATTTCCCATAACCTTTAATACAGAAGTTAGGTAAATAGGGTATAAAAAACACTCCAAACTGATAGGTCATGCTATAATTCAAAACAAAAATATGGGTCAGATTTCATGCATAATGATTTCAAGACACGCCGTACATAGGTATTGGTAAGTGTGTCTGGTCCAACATTCTTTAGTTATTCCTCACTGGATTAATTACACTGATGAGAGTGAAAGGAAGGCAATCACCAAATAGTAAACCATAGATATCCCTAAAAAAAATTATAGCTCATGCATTACTACAGAACCTAAAGGTGCTACAAGCATTACAGATACAGTACTAAAAAATTTTAAAGACCACAACCCAATACTGTATCCCCTAAAATTTTAGTTTACTGGCAGAATATAATTATATTCATTTATATTTCAAAATTACTGTATTATATTAGTCACAAAAGCATGTATCACTAATAAGTTTTTAGTGCCACACATCTATCTACATATGTGCATGTCTTCTAGGCTAGTTAATATGCATGGAAACATATACTGTATGCGTGCAAAATGTACATACAAACTTATGAAAGTACAGGTTTATGAGTTACCAGAAACACAAGGCTTTTCTTTACAGTGCTTCATGCTACTAAGAGTTTTAATACTGTATATAACATAATTGTATGCTCAAGGATCACCAGCAAAAGCCTTATGCTAAGCCAAGCCTACAGTGGTGTGAGGCCTACCATAGCCTGCTGACTGGCACTGGGCAACACTTCATGATTCCCTGGCTCTGGAGACTGTCTCAGTTGGCCTGTGTTCTCCCATGCTTGTCCTCCACTCTGCTGCAAGTATATATCAATTCTTTAATGCAGAATAATTGTCTATCTCAGTTTTATATCTTTAATGAAAAATACTGTACAGTACTTGTCTGTGACAAGAAAAATCCCCTACACCTCCTCAGGGCACAGACAGCCCCCTGAATAAAGCAGATTTTGCTTGGGGAAGATTTAACACTTTAACCCTTAAACTGATTTCCGTGTCAATTGATGACGCACGCTTGACCGCTATTTATGTCAATTGATGTTTTACGTTTTCGCGCCATGAAATAAACTGTGCGTCGCTTGATGTGTTACAAACAGCTGGGTAGCCCTTCGTGGGTACCTCCTTCCCCTCTCAGTCAGGGCTTTGATTTACATCATGGAAGACATTGTACCTGCCTGTCATCCTCTCACAGTGGAGGTACCAAGCACAGGAGCCCCACATATCTTGCACCATCAAAATAGCAGAACATTTCATAATGTGATGATGCACTATGTACTGGAGATTGTTTTACGGAGCTTCATATCCTAAAAGAATACTAAAAAGTGGTGGTCAAAGTGAAAAGAATGACCTGTGTATAAAAGTGTATAAAGTCAGCGAAGAAAAATGAATCAATAAACGAATATTTTCCTATAAGTATAATCTGTCCGTGTCCATAAGAGTTTTCATGTAAACAAACACTTAAAAGACCTAAATATAGTCCTGAGTTTTAGTAATATTGTATTATATTTGTGTTATGGAACATCATTACAGCACTGTAAACTTGTTGGAGGAAATTCGTGGAAGCAACATGACGAGCCTGCCAGTCCTACTAAAGATGAAAGCACTTATCTTATTTTGTGTTTTCCTTGTGTTACACTGTACTGCACATTGACATTTATATAAAGTAAACCTTAAACTTTAAAGAGCTGATTTATTTTTTGCACACAGCTGAGGTAGCCACCAATTTGTATAGCACAGTTTAAGGGTAAAGGCTGATTCCTACGCTTACTGCCTTAGACCCACCGGGACGATCGCCACAACTGCTGGGTAATAATTTTTTTCACCACATTTCAATGATTACCTGTGGCTATATTGATCCCTAGCCAGCCTATCATACGTGCTAATTTGCCTGAGGTGCACATTTCAATATTAAACAAGTACAGTACCGTGAGTGAGTAGTTATCAATCGATCATCAGAGTTATGTCGAAGTTTATCAAAGTTACCTCTACAACATTCCTTATGAGGGTAAAAGGACAGAAATCACCCAATAGAGAACCATAAATATCATACAATATTCTCTCATCTCATCTTTATAATTTTCTACAATAAATTAATGTGTACTTGCTAAAAAAAAAAAATATCAACTCCATATAACAAAGATAAAACCAAATAACTCTTACAAAACAATACTATTTAGATTTTCTTTTCAACCCTCTCTTCCTGGCGGTCACCCAGAAATTTTCCAGCAATCGACCACTAAAGGTTTAAGGCTGAATGTCATAATTCACCTGAAGAATAATACCTACTTGGTGAATTTAGTTACTGTACTGTCAAAGGGAAGTTATTGTGTACCCCTTTCTAATCTGCAACAAAAAGCAATTGTATACAACATTTCCTTCTCATAGATCATAATAAAAACAATAATAGACACATCCAGAATTATGTAGCTGCTTGATTCTATTATTATGAACAAATGACTAGGTTGAGTAAGCTAGGTTAACACTTTGCCACCATATGGGAATTACTGTATATACGTACTTGTACTTCTGACCTAAACCCACAGGTGCACTTATTTTCTTCAGTATAACTCTCAAGGTTTACATCTTCTATAAGTACTTTAAAAAATAAATAAATAATAAGGTACTGCTATTGTCACAAAACGAAAAAACTAAAGTACAGTACACAATTAATATCATAACAAAATTCAATGCACAAATGAACCAAAGCAGTCAGTCTTTTTTAACCCACTCGCGAATCATGACGCAAATCATGTCAAATCATAGGGTAGCTGTATGTTTATCGGTGTAGAAAATTGTATCAAATTTCCATGAATTATAAGTGACTGCATGACCTTACGAGAGAAGCTTCCAGTCACTTGTGCTGGTAGGATGGATGAACTGTCCCTTTATCTACTCTTTCATCCTCCCCACAATTAGTCATATCAAAAATCCAAAGCCACTGTTGGAAAGCTCATACAATTCTGCTTCTATAACTATGTAATACCTTGATAGGTTTGTGAGAAAATATCCAAGATATAATGCTGGGAACACAAATACTGTAATTTATTTTCCTTTATTTGGAAGAAAAAATATAGTCTTATTCTCCTCTTACTTTTTTCTGCTTATGTTAAAGCCAAAACATAATGAAGCCAGTGATGTATAAATAATATATAAAAAAAATAGTAATAATAATAAAAATAAATAAATAAAAAATAAAATCTTGTGGGATAAATTAGCCTCAGAACGAAGATGACCAGACTACACATGAGTGGTCCCATGTGAATTTTGTCATGGTCACAGAAACTTAAAAACCTACTGCATGCACAAGAGGGTTAAAATCTTGAAATACTGATTAATGAACGAGCAAGGCACTGCACATAACTAAATCAAGTCCTAGGGTGAAAATATCATCAACAAATAAATAATTACAGGGTCATGTACTGTACTGTCACCCTCCCCTGATTTACTTCTGATTGTTTATGACACGTACCACAGCATATGATCCCACACGAAACAGTCCAAGTGGTAACACAGGTGTGGTGTGAGTAAGACCACTGCCTGACACCACTGGGTGCAGTCCTGGAGGAGGGTAAAGTGAAGGTATCCTCCGGTACATGGGACGATCTCCTGACTCTTGGTTCTGCTCCGAGTCCTCCCAGCTGTTCTCATCCTCTGCCAGTGGATCATCAGGTCCCAAGGGTATTGGTAAAGGCTCTTCTTTCACTTCTTCTTTAATCTCCGTCTGAAGGTGAGTAAACGTGGATTTAAGGGGGATAAAACAGAGGACAAATGACTAACTTTCTGTATAAATGGAAATATGAAAACTAAATTTCAGTCTTGTATCATGAGCAACTAGATATAAAAGTCTTCACAATGTTTATGAAAAGGAGTCTTTATTAAGAAAAACTCATTTGTGCATAATTCTGTGAGCATAACTGACCCATAAAGTCTACATCAAGAATCATGCACTGTTCAACCTTTCCATAAGCTGATGTTCAGGCCAATAATTCATGTGCAAGTTCTATAAAATCTCCATTGTAAATGCCAATGTACAGCCCACTAGATACAAGTTAAACTGATACTAAGTTGTGTGTGCTAAGAATACTGAAGACACTGACAACCTTGCTGTTTGTTATCAAGGAGGAATATTTTAACAAACAAACACTTTGAGTATTTTGGTACTACAACTAACATCTTGAGAAAATCTTTAATTCATACCTGGAGAAACTGGCTTGGGTGAGTGTCCATGGATGAAGATTTATGCAAAGATCTGTTTTTCTTGGAGTGGGACAAGTTCTGCTTTTGGGGCTGATGTGATTGTTGTTGACTAACATTAGAGCCATCTGGGGTCGTTTGGGTTTCATTTGATCCCTGACGCATAGATGACACAATCTGGAGCCAACCAGACTTTTGATTGGCCTTCTCTACATCTGTCACAGGAACAGCTACCTTTAAAGGAACAGTCAGAGGTAGGGACTGACTAACTGAAGTGGAAGTGTGTTGAAGAGGTTGGGTGTATGAGGCAGAACTAATGGGGATGGTAGGTGGGGCTGTGGAAGCTTGCAGGCTGCTGAAATTTGGAGATTCACTGTTGGTGTGCCATGGTGATGATGTTAGAGGGGTAGATGGAACAATGAGTGAGTCTGATGTTGTCGTGGTCGTTGATGATGTTACAGGAGAAGATGTTTTCTTCTTTCTCCTCTTCTTGGGTGGTGGTGGACTGTCAGGTGAAGGTGAATGCTCCTGATTGCGCTTTGCATCTGATAAATCAAAATATGTATAAAAATAAAGTTTCCTTTTAATAGAGCCTAATTATATAAAGGAAGTCTTACATGACACCACCTGTACATCATTATGGCTTGTGTAAACTTGGTCTCACTTGAAAATATTTTTTTACCCTCCTTAAACTGAACCCCATGATCTACAGTACAGTAGTCAATCTTATTCCTCATTTCACTTTTTGAATTTATACATAATTTATCTTTCTTCATAAGTTTGTTTTTAATCTGTTTATAAAGTTTTAGGTACATACAAAAAGAGTCTCAAAAGTTTACCGCATGATATTTTAATGCTCAATAAAATGCAGAGGAAATTCTTTATCAACCACTGTAACAGGGTACAACAATTACTTTCTGATGTCAGTAAATAACGCAGGCAGAAATACAGTCTAATGTAAATAACTTACTTGATGTGCTCACATTGGCCTCAGGAACAGCCAAACCCTTAATCTTGAGGCATTCCGCCGTCTTCAGCAGAGATGCCAGGTTAGCTTGCCGCACATTAACCTATTTAGAAAAATGTACATAAATTATTTAGAAAGAGTTAAGCTTGTGATTGCTTGAGATAAATTTTCACCTATTTTTATTCCTCATTTTGTATGATGGAGAATGAAAAAATCTCCCGTGAAAACCTCACCCTTGTACAGTATTTCAAGCACTCCTCTTGGCCTTCCAGAAACAAACTTTTATATTATTTCTCATCAAGTCTCTTTAACTCACCTGACCACAGTACATGTAGTCGAGCAAACACTCCACATCCTGAGCACGTGCCTCGTTGAGCACTATCACTGCCCGTGTAGTGTCGCTGGGTGTCTGCTGGAATATCTCATCGAAGAAGTCACTACATGTGGCAAGCACAAGCCTATGGACCATGAAGAGACGACCTTCACATGCCAGAGTTGCATCCGAGTAACGTGGCTGTAAAAGAAAAGCGTACTGTACAATAGAGTACAGCCTAACCACAGTGTAAACCCCAAACATTACAATACAGAAATAGTTTTGTATTTTGATGAATAAGAACTACTGGATATTTCTTTTCATATCTGGACATTAAACAGTAAAAAAAAAAAAGTAGAAGACTCAATGACTGAAAACTATCAAAGTTTTCTTAATGTCAACTTTTATCATAACTGAGGGAAAAGAAAAAATAGCTGGAATTTAGTACTGTACTTTACTCAATTTAACACAAATACATATCACTTTCAGAACATTAATACTCTCTCAATATTGTGATATAAATCTGAGTTATATCTGGGGAAAAGTCAGTGTAAATCGTGTAATGATGACGAGAGGATGACCCACCTTACTACGAAGTCTGTGTAAGATATGGCAAAAGGTAGCTTCATGATTGTTCCATCTGAGCTTTAACAAGCCTTCTGACAGAGCCATTATAGAGCTGCACACCTGTGAGAGAAGTCATAATTGAGTGGTTAATTGAACAGAGAAAAATATGAATAATAATTGACAGAAGCAGCAAGGATTCATTCTTCTGCCATCTAACTTGGATGGGAAACTCTGCCAGGATTATGGAGAGCAAACTTGTGACAAATAATGGAACATAGATGTGGGGTCTGCATGATGGGGGGAGCAACAGGGTCAAATATTTCCTAAGAATGTTTGTGAGGTGGAATATAGGAATCATATGCATATAAACAAACAAATATATAAACAAAAATAAACCACTACCCAAGAATTTGTCACTACTTACCGGTACTTATCATATAAATCAAGTATAAAATATATACTGTGTGTGTGTATATATATATATATATATATATATATATATATATATATATATATATATATATATATATATATATATATATATATATATATATATATATATATATATATATATATATATTATTTCACGCTTATCAGCCATTTCTCATGATATAATGCAATATGGCTGGAATCGAGAGTAACTAATATTTTTCTTCACACTCCTTCATTAATTCTCCTTTCAACACATAACCCCAACACCCCATGTCAGGTCTGGCCCCGTCAATTCACAGTCTAGCATAATCCGACCCCACAAAAACCACTTGATGCCGTACTTTACTGCTCATTAATGCTTCCTGGATATCCTTCCCTCTCCTTAGACAGCAGCACTTAGCTTCCACCACTAATGAATAGAGAAGTGTCTCCCCTGGAAGTTTGTATGACTGGATATGTTGTAGGTGATGCATCAATATGGAATCTGATACAGTACAGGAGTCTTGAGTGGCAGCAAAATCTCTTAACCTTCTGCCTTAACTGGTAACTCACACCACTGGTTTTTGGGGAGTAGGATTATGAAGGGAAAACAAAATAATGTGTGTTTTCCAGGATTTGCTAACTTTGGGACTCTTTTGGATAACTGTTATACTTTGTTCAACTGTATTTGGATACACTGTATTAAATAAAATGACACCTAATCTAATCTATTAGGCATCAGCTTTTTAATAAACATCCTAAAACAAATGCTCTAGTTACTGAGTTCTTGCAGGTTATTGAGCTATGTAGTCATCTTAAAATTTGGCTTTTTACTTTTGTGTGAGTGTGAAAATCATGTTCAAAATATTCTTAAACAGAGGAATTAACAAATAAAACCCAATCAAACAATATCAGATTTTTTTTTTAGGTAATTCAGTTAAAGTTTAGTGGATTAAATTTGGTGGTACAATAATGGAGTCACCACAATGTACAGTAATGTGTCACGAAACTCATCCTCATCATCACAAAATCCTATACTGTACACCTGTACTGGCTTTAAATTGACGTGTTTTCAATCTGCTGAGAAGAAACTCATAAACATTAGAAACAACACGAGACTTAATAATGGTTTGTTTTCTTTGGAATTTTCACCACAATATTTATTCAAATGTTTATAATCCAAATCTGGTGGTGGGAGGGGGGGGTAATACACTACAGTACTCTGGGAGAATCGTTCAGGTTATAACAAACAAGTTCAGGCTGAAATTTTTCTACACACAACACGTTCTTTCATACCTCCAGAAAAAAAAATAACGAGGATTAAAAATTTTTGTTACCGTATCCGGTACAATATTTTGGCAACATTTTCGTTCTGAACACTAATTTACGGTCCACTGACTCTTATTTACACTGTTTACATGATGACTGTTTATAAATAGGAATGTTTTCCAGTGACTGTTTCATATAGTGGCACATTTCCAGCCACTGCTACATAAATAAGTTAGGCCGGTTCATCTCATCTCCAATACGTCATACAAAGTAGGTCACTCGGCAGAGTTCCTGTATATGGTATGGTCATATAAACAATGAAAATGGCGCTGGCAGGACATGGCGGGTGTGATGTACATTAGCAGTCAGGACATAAAAGTCGCCAAAACTCAAAACTACACAGTGCTGACTTTTCTCCCATAGCGACATAAATTATTTACTGTAAGATAAACCAATCAGAACTTCCTAACCTAACAGCCTATGATTAAAAAGTTTATTATGTTATCTATTTTAGGTTAAGTTAGGTAGGTTAGGTAAGGGTCAATCTGGTTTTTTTCATATACTGTCAACAGGAGGAGGAAGACGAATATAGTGGTCTGGGTAGCACACACTGTATTCACTCTTAAAAATAATTCCTCCACTCGTATCTTTTTATTCAGAAATTTTCACTAAATTGGCTCATTCTACTGAGTCCGATGTCTAAAGTATTACCCAATACAATTTTTCATGAAGATTCAAGTCCCTAACTTACAAATTTTAAGATAAGATAGTTCAACCCTATGTCATTAAAAATCTTGTAAACATTGCTAGCTAAATAAAATATATTCCTTTGTTACTTCAAAAATTTCCACATAACACATTTGTTTTAATCACACAAATTGCAAACCCAGGGAGGAGACAAACTTAGATTTTCACTCGGGTAATGGCTAGTTGGCCGTGATGAAATGAAAAAAAAATTATCCTTGAACTTTGTATATCACGAAGAATCTCCAGCTCAAGTTATTTCATCTAACGATTAATCACCCTAACACTATTTGGGGGGATTAGGTTAGGTTAGCTTAGATCAGGTTAGGTTAAGTATTGTAATTCCAAAATTCCGTAACTATGTTTGTCTAGTAAAATCACGTACAGTTCTGCCGTGATCTGTCTTCAATCACTCGGTGAAGGCACGGAGGCCACAGCTTACTTGCCATTCCTTTAATAAATCTCAGGTCAAGTGTTTTCTTCATATCCTACTAACACAGGCGTCTACACATGAAAACTAACAACTTATAACAATAAAAACACCCCAAAAAATAGGAAAAAAGGTCATTCTACATAATCACAATCTAATACTACATGCAACATCATCATGCATCTTCATCTTTAAATATTAAATTACAAATTAAAATCTCATTCCTCACAGATAATTGACATTACGAACTAAAATTCAACCAAATCTTTTAAAATATTACTAAACATGAAACTTTGAGTACTGTAATATCCTAACAGAGATTACTAGTTGCATGAATTAAATAACTTACTTAAAATCCTCTTTTTAAATGAGTATTAAATGTTTACTAACACTAAGAGATAAACTGGGTATGAGTAATAACAATAAAATATTTCCCAACTTATCCTGTATATTACGTCTATTTGTGTCATGCATATAACTAATCCTATCACCCTGAATATGCTAATAGTAATATAATTTGGTGAAAATCCCTAATTAATATTAACTACGTACTGAATGTATTAGTACTAGAGTTTATTTCTTTTAATATACGCAGCAATTGCAGGTGAGAATTTGTTTGACTCACCTCTCGGACAAGCTTGCCACCACAACTAGTATTACCATCCTCTACACCAAGACTCCAACCATATTAATATTTTTCTTACCCGTTTCCGTAGAGAGCTTTCTCATATACTGTTTTTTATAGAGGTTACCAATAATATCAAAGGGTAAAATGGCTTAAAATACGTGTCTGATTCTTATCGTGTGAGCCCCTCCGTCCGCCATTACTGAGATTCTGACGCTGATCAACAACACTCTGTCCGAATTATTTCAACGGATCATAAAAAACATAATTCATCATAAGGAACAACTTATTTCTCTTTCATAAATCTAGAAAAAATAACTTATGTGTAATTATATATGTTTATAAGTAAATTATATTATCAGATAATATATGATTTTAAATTAGATTTTGAAAGGAAGTAGAAGTCAGGGTCAGTCTCGTCCAGGCGATAAGACGATGGTTTCTAAGCTTGGTTTCTAAGCTTGGCTCCTGTCCGCCGCCTTTATTAAAACAGCGTGACATAACCACTCACGAGGGCATTCATAAACCACCATGATTATATTAACACGAATTACTATCCACTATAAGATACAAACGAAAGAAAAGTGAAGCTGACGTCTGTATAAAACTAAATAATCTATTATGAGATCAACAACTGGGAGTGATGTCAGAGATACTAATAAAACACTTGGCCAAACATGCATCATAGTATTTATAATGCCAGAGTGATCGCGATACCGGATGCAAGAGTGAAGAAAGATACTGCAATCAGAATAAAACATGAACTTACAACAGCTGTATATATGGTGTCAAGGTGTGAAATAGATTCGTGTGTATTATATTGTGTAAGCCTTGAAGAATAGCCTAAGGGTTGACAACTTCCGTTCTATATTTAACTTGATATTGAAGCTCTTTATGTTTCTCGGATACACACCAAGCAATGTACACTCTTGTTAACTTCTCTTCCGTGACCTATTTGCTATTATTTTTTTTTATGTCCAAGTATAAAATATCTATCCCAGTGCTTCTATACGTATACTTTTGAATACAGTGATTTTATTATGTCACTTCCTTGTGATACGAAGCTTCCTTATTAAACTGCTACCAGATAAAGTATTGCATCACCTGAAGATCAGCCCCTCAGCTTATCCCATGTGATAATGATAATTAGTTGACCTTAAGGTGAATTAACCCAGGGGGCGGGGGGGGGGGGAATCATCAGGTGACTCGAATTTTTGTCTAAAAGCTTCAAAATATAAATTATGCCATAGAATATTAATTAAAAAGAAAACTGACTTGATAATAATTTGTAAAGCGAATAACTTTACTTATGAGTAAATGGTTAGCAATAGTTATTAAGAAATATATTATCGATAAATTAATAATAATAATAATAATAATAATGGTAACAATATCCGGTAAAATCATCACACAGGTTTACAATTGGTTTAACATGTATATAGGCAATGCATGTATACAGTTCAACATGTATCTAGACAACGCAGGTATGGAATTGTAAACTAGAAATGCTCTTAACACCAACACTATGAAAGGAGGGAAAATTGAATAATAATAATGTGGAAATGAGTCAAGCCACTAGTTTCCTGTTTCCGACAAATAAATATATAAATCAAGTATGAAATCACATTAATGGATAGATTGAAAGGTGTTGATAATAATATGGATGTTGACGTTCCCCCTACGACTGTGTTAACACCTCGGTAATGCGGGTCAAGCAGCCAACATATCAATGAGAAGACGAACTTTATCTGTAGAAAAATAAACAACAGAAAAATCCACCATTTATAGTATTTATATAGACCGCTCAGTAAAGTTCATATTGAATTAATGAGTAGGCTATGAGACAAGGCGCCAATGATCGCTGTGGAGATGTTTGTCTGAGGACATAAATTTTGTAATCGTACTATGTGCACTACGTCTGGTCAGGGAGTCTAGAGAAGATAAATTCAAATAAATAGAATTAAGACGTCCTCTTCCCAACTTCCAAGCTGCCGCTCGGGCGAATTAGCAGCCCATGTTTATACCTGAACATATGCCAGTGTTAATTATTTTTTAATTTACCTTTTTATTTACAATTTTCAACTTATTAGCCTTTCGGGTGGTTTGTTCTTTGTTAGGTCCCTTGTTGTCCAGTGTTAGTACAAGAGGCAACTGGAGTACCCGGAGAACTCCTGTCATGTTTGCTAGTCACACTCATAACATTTCTCGCATCCATCCGGGAAGCGAACCCAGGACGTAAAATGAGAGGCATGCGTGTTACCACTACACAACCAGTACCCCCCCTCCAGTACTGCTGCAGTATAGTTCACACTTGGTAGACTGTTACACCATGTTACAGCTCTCACAACTCGTTTGAAACTGACCATCTGGATAAGTGTACGATCTTCCTTTATCAGTTAGTTTATAAGGTCCATTCACATTTTCCTCGGTGATCTGAGACCTTCAGTTTTTATCAACTTAAACACCCAGATCTTTCTCATATTTACATTTAACTAAAGAAATATTTCCATTGTCTTCGGTCATAATTATGATATATCTTTACTGTTGCTGCAAATGTTTCTCAGCCACCAAATTATGATAGGAAATCCCATTGTATTCCATTATCTCACCATTATTCTTCAGCCTTTCGTGAGGTACACTGGTAAATGCCCGGAAAAATTCAAGATATATAATTGTCAATAGCAGAGTGCATCACCTCCGACAGCTGTGTGAAGCAGGAGCGACCGGGCATAAAACCGTGGTGGCATTCCTTCACGAGGCTGTTCCGTTATGCTGTAGTGCAGATGGTCCATCATGGCATCGCGTAATGTTTTCTAACATTTTACACTCTAGACTGGTTAAGCTTACTGACCTGTAATTATTTATACATTAGCGATGACCATTTTTCTATGTCCTCTTCGCCATTTGTCATTTAGTGCAGTGGATGAGAACATTTTTGTACGAGCGGGTCACAGTAGTGTAATTGTGGGATGTGAAGACAATTATTAAACCATCGACAAACAGGCGGCCAGTACCGAATAGATAAGTAATTTGACAGTAACTTCTCTTTACGGTTTACTTCTACTAAAGTGATATTTCAGACAATTATCGTTATTCGTTCATCCTCATATATTTTTTCAATCCTCTTAGTTATCTTGTTACTTTATTCTGGGCGTCGTAACAGTGAGCGTGTGATATTTTCCCAGGCAATCAGAACTCAGTGAGCGAGCGACATGTTTCCAGCCAATCATAACTCAGCATTGTGCACATGGTGGGTTCCCAGCCAGTAAAAGCAAAGCATCTCTCCACCACAAACTGTATATTTAATCTTTCTGTATGCAGCTCCAGTGAGAAAAATATATTAATTTTACGATAAGTACAATAAATAACAAAAAATAAAAATAAATCAGCTTTTATTATGGTTCAAAACATGGCGTAGCGAACAAGTTTTTTTTTATGTAAATTCATCTTGTTCTTTTACACCACTTCACAATTACTCTTATATATTGTAGTCTCAAAAGGCAGTACCACTCGCATTATACACCAAATAAAAAGGTTTATCCTTGTATAAAATCATTATTCCATCTATAACTGAACACACGGGGTTGCTATTTCCCGTTCCTTCGATACACAGGAATTTGTTGTGAATATCCTGATGCTATGATATAATGCCGCGCTTCAACAACTATTTTTTTTTTTTTTAGAATTAGGACTTTCCAGCGCGTATACGCTGTACTGTGTTGGCAATTACAGCCTCAGACATCCTTAGTTGATACTATAATTTATTATTGTACTGCGGCTCAACACAGCTTATAGAGATGATTATGTTAACACCTTTTTAGAAATAGTCTCAAATTAAGGATTTTTTCCCTTAAATACTTGACATGTGGAAACTATAACACAAAGTCAAATTTGTCAGTTTAACCAAGCAATCTCAATTTCATTTGTGAAATGTAGGTTTTCGTAATTGAAGAGGTGACTGGAATATGGTCAGACAACACGTTATTTCATTTCGAGACAAAATATATAATTTACCCCTGAATATATAAATGTTACCATTATATTCTTTTTTCGCTTAAGTTAGGTATAAATGTGCAAATTGTTTTATAACATAACGCAGAAAATCTTTGTACTTCATGTTACAGTACAAGGATAGGAACACTTCATATTACTAGTATAAAAAACACCTGATATTACTAGCAATTACTAATAATGTACCAAGTTATATTAAATAATATATCTATATACTTGGAATAATCGAATAAATAATGCAATAAAGAAATACTCATAATCATACAGCAATAAAGGTACTGAAGTCTGGTTGGTGATGTCAGCAGTGTACGAGAAACATTTTCCATTACAACACTCGTTACGCGGGAAATAACTTGGTGCCCATTAAAACTTTCCTTGATAAGTAAAAAGCGACTTATAAAATTTCTTACTAGAGGAGACTTTTTATGCATATGAGTTCAGTATAACAAAAGCTTTTTACTTTTACTATTATATTTTAAGTATGTGCGTGTATGCAAATCCTACACGAATACATATAGATATGAATTCACGCGAGTGTTTTAAAAGAATATATAGAATCACGATGTTTAATAAGAAATTCAATGTAAAAAGAGCTACACAGACACAATCACTAACCTAAACAGATATACACTCTCCTGTTGTAAAATAGACAGTCATATAGACATATACATTATTGAGGTCACCTGAACACTGACTGCCCCCACCCAGCTTATTTCACCTTCAGATTTACCACCAGAACGCTAATGCTAACCTAATCCTCCCAGACAAAGTTAAGGCGTTTAATCATCAGGTGAAATAAGATAGGGGGGATAATCTTCATGTGATCTCGTTACCGGGAGGTTACGGAAATTAACTAATATATCTTGTATTACGGCTCATTTTGGCGGGAGATAATGTATTAATTTTGTTTCTTACACAATAACATAACCGGGTTTTCTGAGTGCCGGACGTGACATATATAATGGTAAGCCTTATTAGCATAAACTCGCTATTATTCATAATTACGTGAGGAAGACATCATCACCCGGCCCGCCACCCAGCCAGCCAGGGTGTCCCATAACAGTTATACACCTAGTGCCTCTGTCTCCGTCCGTCCCCACGCCACGATGCGCTACTGTTTCATAACGGTGCTCCGGACAACCTCCCACTCCCTGAATAATGTCCCACACCCACCCGGACAAAACCACTACAGTAGCCGATCCCGGTGTGTGTGTCACCATGTTCACGTGGCATTTCCCTGACGGTTTAAAGTTGTTGTTTTTTTCTTCGTGTTTTAAGCTGCCTGATTGTCTAATAATTATATACGGGGGTTCTCAACCTGGGTTATGCGAGGGAATCTTAGGGCGTAGGCGATTGGGTCTTGAAAATATAACTTTTCAAAGTTTATAGACGATTGACGAAGGGGCACAAGTCATACGGTCGTAAAGAAAGAATCTCCGACCTTGAGTCTTCTGTCTGATGTCATCAAAAGTGATTTCAATCGTGACAGAGGGAACATCCACAAATCTGACAGCCATTACAAGTTTCCACCCTCATTGTGTTCCTTGTGATTGTTAAAACAATATTTGGACGGGATACACAGTTGGACTCAGAATGAAGCTTTAAGTGAGAACGGAAGTGTTAATATGAATCACTGTGTCCTTAGGAGGTGTGGTACTTGAGGCGGTCACTACCAGTACCATACCTTGATGGACTCACTGTTGGCTTAGAGCAGTGGCTCTCAGCCTGGGGGCCATGGCCCCCAAGGGAGCCACGGCAAGAATTTAGGGGAGCCACGGCGAGCTGTTATAAATTGTACGTTTCCAAATAATGTTGGGAATCTGAATTAAACAAAACTTGTATTACTTATTTTGACTTGACAGAAGAGAATTTTCATTCTTTTTTTGTCATTTTGTTTAATTATAACGACAATACAATTATAATATTTACAAACTCGGGTGATTTTTTTTTTTTTACGGATTATTTAAGATTTCACAGGTCCAGTCCCTGTCTGTGTGACAGGCGCTGGACCAAGCTGCTGAACTGACTTGTTCAGTAAGTGTCCGTGTGTCATCCCTTTGCAAATGGTGATAGGACCGAATGATCTCAGTCTGGCCTGGGATACCATCACGAAAACAGTGGAGTGTATTGTCTCTGAACCATATATTGTGTTTGAGCTTGACTCAAGCATAATATACTCCGTAATTGGTGATACTTATTTTGTTTCATAATTCATGTGGTCGCTGCTTTACGTGGGTGAAATATTTGTACACTTCCTTTATTAATTATTTCCTTATTTAGTGGTGCCATTGTTGTTCATACTCATTCTTTACTTATATAATCCTACCATTTTTAGTGCTAAATTGGTATGACACTATTCTTTTCAATGTCCCAAATTGGGCAGTGCTTGTTAAAGGAGGCGTGTTCTTGCTTACAGGAAGTACACTTCAGCTTGCTAGCTTGAGTGTGAATGTTTACCTGTGTGCATGTTTGTGTATGACTGTATGTGTGCTTCATGTGTGAGTGCATGGGCGTGTTATGTATGTGAATGTGTGTGTGTGTGTTTGCCATTCTAACTCTTGGCCTATTTATCTGTCCTTTATCATTCTTTAGTCTTTATCACTTGTCTGTGTGTCTGTTCTGGGAGAAAAATGAAGGAGGCCACGAGGATGTTGAAAATTCCTCAAGGGGGGAATGGAGTGAAAAAGGTTGAGAACCACTGACTTAGAGGAATGACTTAGCTCCATCAGCAAGTCAGCAGCTGTCACACTGTACATATCCCAGTATTCTTGTCCACCTTAACAGTCTCTCCTGAACGAGCCAAAACCTTTATCAATTTTTTGTTGTTGTTATACCAAGAAGAATTTAATCAGTAATGAGCAGTTGACAGAACCATTGGTGAGGAATTATTATGATGCATCCTGATACCACGGCCATAGCATCAAACCTTCTGGATTATCCGAATATTTCCTGCATGGTTTAAAAGTGTGTACAGTGAGTGTGACAAGCTGTGGATGTGAAAGTTCTAACAGTGAGCCTGGACTATTTCTCTCTACCTTAACTCGTATATATTCATTGGAGGAACGAAGGCTGCATCTCCGACCAGTGACAGGTGAGTCGCTACACAGGCCACCACAGTGCCCACAGTGAGACATCTTGTATATCTGCAAATGTATATCCTCATTGTCTGTACTGTATATAATGTATACTAAATCCATGAAAAACGTGCTTGTTAATTTTATGGATTTATTATAATTATTTTCAGTGGTTA